ATCACTACAAAATTTTCAGTGCTTCCCTCATAACTCCTGCACTTATCTCATTGCAGATAAGCAACAAATATGACCCGCAGTGATACTTTGGGTAGCTTTGCTTTAGAGGCCTGGAAGAACACTCTTTGCCCAAAAGACTAAAATCACCATGCAGGTGTGGGTCTTCGGCACCATTGAGAAATAAAATGAAAGGTGTATTCAAGTGGGTTCTCCAAAGAAGTGTGTGTGTGTGTGTGTGTGTGTGTGTGTGTGTGTGTGTTCATATACACAAAGACTTATTATAAGGGAATTGGCTTAGGTGGTTGTAGAATTTGAGAACTCCCATGACCTTCTGTCAGGAATCATAGGACCCAGGAAAACTGCCAGCTTGGTTGCAAGCTGGGCCCAAAGACCTGAGAACCAGGAGAGCAGTGGTAGAAGCTCTAGCCCAAGTCTGAGTCCAAAGGCAGAAGACTGATGTCAAAGGCAGGCAGAGGGAATGAGTGCTCCTTACCCCTCACTGGCCTTCGGTTCAGCATTCCCCAGATTGATGCTACCTGCATTTGTAGGACCATCTGCTCTACTCAGTCTGCCAACTCAAAGTCAGTCTCATTTAGGGACTCAGAGGCATCTGGAATAAGGTCTCACCAAACACCAGGGTACCCCTTGGCCCAGTCAAGTTCCCATAGAAAGCAGCCATCCCAGAAGGGCATTGTCTCAGGTCACTGTGAGCAGGGCTGTTCGGTTGATCCCTTCCACAGAAATCACCTGACACCAGTACCCTAACCTCGTGACACCTCGAGGTGACCATTGGGCCAGCATCCTGGTGCCCAGGAGATAAACTCTTCTTCAGCTCTTTATTTTCCACCCACAGAGCTCCCTCCTCATGAGATAGCTGGTGCTCACGAACCCCACGAGAAGCCAGGGTTCACACCTCATCCCTTTGCAGGTGCTTCCCACCCCAGCCAGCTTCCTCTGCTATGGGACCCAGCGTGCTTGGTCATCAGCCCAACACTTCCAAGACTTCCTTTGGCCCCTGCATCCTGCCTCATGCAGTCTTGCACAGATATCTACTGGCAATGCCTACTGAGCATGTGCCTGGCCCTAAGTCCAGTGCTTTCCATACCTCACCTTATTCAGCATTTTCCATGTTGCTATGCACTGTGTATTCAAACTCTGCTTTTACTGAGGAGGAGAATGAGGCTTATAAGTTACCTTTATAAGGATTAAGTTACTTTCTTGGCTAAGAAGGGTGGAGCTAGGAAATAAATTTAGCACTGGTTTCGAACAGAAGATTCTGATCATTCACCATGAAACCGTATTGCCTGTCTTAGTCCATTTCTGCTGCTATAAAAAAATAGCTTAGGCTGAGTAGTTTATAAACAACAGAAATCCGTTGCTTACAGTGAGTGGTTGGGAATCCAGGGTTGGGTGAGGAATGCTCTCTGCTTCCAAGATGGCATCCTGTGTCTTCATACTCACTTAGTGGAAGGTGGAAAGGAAGAAGGCCTAGGCTAGTTCCCATGAACCCTTTTACAAGGATACTAATCCCATTCATGAAGGCTTTTACCCTATGATTTAATCACCTCCTAAAAATGCCTCCTTTTTTGTGTGTTTCGAAGTAGGATCTTGCCATGTAGTTCAAGTTGGCCTTGACTTTTGACCTTCCTGCCTCAGCCTCCCAGAGTGCCGGGATTATAGGTGTGTGCCACCCTACCCAACTTAAGGCCTTACGTCTTACTGCTGTCACATTGGGTTTTAGGTTCCAGCATAGGAATTTCAGGCCACAGAAATAGCGTGCATATGATGAACAGTCACTTAAATAACATTTCCCAAGAATTAAAGTTGGTTGTGAAAATATTTATTTTTATTCATTGTCCTGCACGGGAGGGTCTATCTTTAAGTTTTAGTTTAGGACAAGGTTTCTCTTTGCTCGTGGACTTGGATACTTCTCTTCTTAGGTAAGACAATAAATTTAAAGCTTGGGTTTCCCCAGGCTGCTTGGAGGGAAATTTAGTCCTTAATTGCAGCAGCTGCTTTGAATTTACTTGGGGTAATGTTCTTGCCTTTCTCGAACACAACTTTATCTATATGGATAGTTCAGTTGCACGTTTTCTTTTCCACTGGACTTTGCAAAGCTTTTTGGGTGCAGACGCTGAATGAGCTGGATGTGTATATAATTTGGCAAGCTGCCTTTTTTTTAGGAGTAAGCTATGTTGGTATAGTGAGTGGGATTGAGATTCAGTGGCGAATGCTTTTCTCTGCAGAGTACACATCATGTATTCTGTGGCTGACCCGGGGTATGGATTGGATATGTTCACTTGAGTTTAATTTTATTGCTTTGGCTGTAAAAATTTGTGTGGTGGATCCAAAGCTTCAGACGTCCAAGTAAAAGGAGGTAATGGGAAGACATTTATAAAATGCTGATCCACTAGAGAGAGTGACAATGGGGTGGGAAGGAAGGCTTTTAGCTGCTGTGCTAATCTTGGTGAGTTTTGTTCTGGGTAGCAACATCAGAGATCAGGAAAGCGTTTTCCCAAGTTTACAAAGGCTTAAACAGTGGTTAACAGCTGGCGGGGCTAATTGGGTACTGGGGTCAGTGCTGAGGACAAAGCTAAAACCACATAGACTGCATTAGCTAGGGCAGATTTCTTATCCGCTGGGTGTGGGCACCGACCCATGCTCAAATGACCATGACTCCTGGCCCCCAGAGATTGGCACAGTTTCTGCACAGTCCTAATTTATACATCTGGTTCTCTTTTTAAATCCTCTTTGGTCTGCAAATTTACTTGGAGAAGCAAGGTGATGGCAGTTGAAGTGTTTTTCCCAAGGAAAAAAAAATTCTTGTCTTCTACTTAGGGGTCAGGATGGATTTGGAGACATCGGACTTACAATTAGCTGAAGACGCATCTTAGAACTGGCCTGCACACGCATCCTTTGTGAGCAGCGTCCTTTGCCTTGTGATTGGCTGTGGATGACATTTCGTTAGTCTCAGAAAGACTGAAGGGAGGCTTTACGGCTGACAGTTGGCTCTTGCCTCAGCCATGTGTCTGTTTTACTTTTTGGGGTGCTGAGCATTTGTGAGAGTTGTCCTAGTTGTTATGATGAGCTAACAGTACCTTCAATAGAAATAGAGAAATCAGGAAGTGCAGCCTGATTTTGCAGGAAGATAATTAATTCATTTTTAGACATCTTGAGTTTGAAATGAGGGTTTGACACGCGGGTGGAAATGTCTGGTGTTTAGCTGAGGCTGCTTAGGTGAAATAGCACTTGGGATGCTTGAGATCTAGATCTTATTTCTTTTTCTGGTATGGGATGGTACTGGGGATTAAACTCAGGGCCTTTGCACTGGGCTACTGCTCCAGCAGTATTTATTTTTATTTTTAATTTGAGACAGTGCCTCACTGTGTTGCTAAGACAGGACTTGGGACTTGTGATCCTCCTGCCTCACCACCATGCCGGCTTTATAATTGTACAATTGTGCTTTTGATCAAAACCTTCCAGTTTTAGCTGTTTCATTGGTCGATCTCTTAAGTCAGCAGCTCCCAGCCCAAGCAGGGACATGCTGCTGTGTCTCAGGTTCAAGGGAGAGAGAAGAGGTGGGGTCCAGCTGGGCCTGTCACTTAGCAGCGTCACGGGGAAAGGCGGCAGAAGCTGGTGCCAGCCAGCACCTTCATGCCTTTCTCGGGAAAGGTTGCTCCCACTTGGAGTTTTCTAACCAGTGCCTTTGAGGGACAGCAGGGTGTGGGTGCCCTGAGCAGTTGTCCCCAGGACTTTCACATTCACTTTTATACCTTGTCACTCAGGAGGGTCGCCATGGTCACCCGCACAGATGCCGACTTTAGAGCCCGGAGTCTGTCTGGGTGACGTGTGTGGGCAGAGTCCCAGGGTGCATGTCTCTCCCACAGAACCATGGTGGGGAAGCCTCCGGCCTCAGCTTGGGCACTCAGTGGCAGGGAGATCACCTCTTCCAGTGCTGCTCACCCCCCTTTCAGCTCTGGAGGAAGGAGAGGTGTTCTTCACTGCCCTGTCACCCACTCCACATGCTTCCTGATGGTTGGCCCTCATTCGGCCCCAATATTCAGGAATCTTCGCAGCCTCTGTTCTAGAGGGGAAGGGGACCCAGCGTTGTTCAGAGACGTGTTCCCCGTGAGGATCAGGATCAGGATCAGTGCTCCTGTGGAGAGGACCACACGGCCTGCACCTCTCCTCTTCTGCTCCTCCATTCTTCTTTCCCTTGGCCCAGAGCCCCTCCTGCCTTGTGCTGGGGGAACATCTGGATGCGGGAGCTTTGCCTGCAGGTGTGTGCATGTGGGCTGCTTTGATTTCCTGTGGAAGCGCTGGAAGCTGCTTCATTCAGGGGATACCTTGAGCTGCTACCTCGCCTCACAGCAGGGCAGGCAGGTGTGATGGCCATTTCAGAGTCTGCGCCACACAGCCACTCATGCAAGTGGCGTCTGCAGCTCAGTCAGGCTTGGCAGCTGTGCCTTGGAAATCCAGCTGCAGCCGCCATATTTTCTAAGAGCCTGGGCCCTTCTTACCCTCTTTGGGTGCTGTGCGAAGGGAACATCTGTTTTGGGTGAAAATGAGGTGCTTGGCTCTCTGGGGGATCACAGCCAAGATGTCCAATGTTTGGGCCATCCGTCCTTTCTGGGGTGTTCAATCCTTCCTTACAGGCATTGGATGTGAGAATTATTCAGGCCAAGGAAAGCCCCAAAGGGCATTCTCATTTGTATGAAGAGGCAGTTTGACAATGATGTGGTGTGCTGTGGTTGACAAAGACATTGTAGTTTCAATTTGTAATTAAATGGAGGAAAATGTCAAATGGGGTAAGATCCTGTGGGAACTTCTGAGGCCAGTGAGACCCGGGAATATTCTGACTTTCCCTTCACCGATATTACTGTTATTTAAAAAGGAACATGGGCCATCTGAAAACTGGGATCGTCCCTTAGGGAAGGCAAGGAGGAAGGGCTGAATGATGACGTCTTTCTCTCCCCTCTCCCCCATTCTCTCCTGAGCAGGGAAAAGATGCCGTTCCACCACGTGACCGCCGGCCTGTTGTACAAGGGGAATTACCTCAACCGTTCTCTCTCCGCTGGCAGCGACAGCGAGCAGCTGGCTAACATCTCCGTGGAGGAGCTCGATGGTAAGGAATTCACCCTGGTCAGGAACTTAGCCACCCAAGGGAGGCCTTTTTGAATCTCGGGGACCCAAGGGAAAGCAGCAGTTGCAACCAACTCTAACCATAGTACATGCAGTGGGAAAGAGTTCAGAGCACACATTTCCCTAAATGATTTGTCAGGGACCTTGTTGCCTGAGAGTCAATGGCAAATAGTTTGGTTTCCTTGGATACAGACCGGGGGAGATCCTTCACCTGTCTTAGAATGTATTGTCCGCTGTTTGGAGTCTTTGTCAGTGGAATTGCCTGATTTCTTGAATCATTTACTGTGGAGCCCGGCTGCAGGGGAGGGCTGAGCGCCACTAGAGTTGGTCTCTTGACTTGAGGCCATGGTGCGTTGAACACTGCCCAGCTCAGAATTGTTGGGAAGCAATGTCTAGGTGAAAAGGAGCAGTTATTTTAATTACCTCTGTTCTTTCATAACCCAGTACAGCCCTGGGTGTGCAGGATGGGCGTTAGGGAAGGGAATACATCTGGGAACATGATGATCAAATTCGTCAAAGGATAGTGTCCCATTGTATCCTGGATAAACCAATCCTCTGATTTAAAAGAGCAAGAAAATGAGGTTGACTTTACAGATATGTTTGCTGAGGCCAAACCGGAATCAGTTTCCCTAGTGCTTTTTAGTGGTGTATTCTTTATAATACTACTTTACAACATGAAGTTTAAATTTGCTTCTAATGTAGAAAGGTCAAAATTATTCCAATTGTCTCTCACAGTTGCTTTTAAGTGTCGTGGCCAAACCGTTGTGTTTGCTACATGGCCAGTGATAGGCATGACTTCTCCTAAGGCGTTTCTGGCTTGAGGAAGCCAGACTTTCTGAGCATTGGGCAGGAGGTGAAGACTGACAAGAAGATAGCTAAGGATGGCTTTCCCTTCCCTTGTCCATTTTGTTTGTATGCCTTTTTCAGTGCTTGGGGCAGGGTTGTAGGAGAGGCCAGAAGACTTAGGAGTGATGTGGGCGGGGCCAGGCTGGACAGGAACCTGCTGGCCTGAGAGGAGAGTGGGGCCCTCAGATCTCCTGACTTGCAGCTGGCCAGAGGCTGTGCAGACAGAGCCAGGTCACAGAAGCAGGGAGAAGACCCTTGCCTTCCTCCCAAGAGCCCCTCCTGGTGACCACAACAGGATGGCACTGTGCTTGGGTGATGTCTTGGTCCATTCGTGTTGCTATAACAATAGACCGGTCGGCTTACAGACAGGTATTTATTGTCTATAGTTTGTGAAGCTGGTGCCCAAGTACTGGCCGTCGGCATCTCTTGAGGGCCTGGTCCTGGGTCACAGATGGCACTGAGTCCTCCTGGGTGGAGATGAATGAGCTCCCTTGGACTCCACCAGTCCCATTCATGGGGGCTCTGCCATCCCAACCAGCTCCCCAGATGCCCCACATCCTAATATCCTCACAGGGGTGATTATGTTTCCATATAGGAATTTGGGTGGGGGAGACATAGACATTCAGAACATAGCAGGTATGTGTGGCAGGTCATGCAAAGCTCAGGCAAAACCCAGGCTTTCCCCACCATTGAGAGTCTCTGCTGGGCATGGAGACAAGTGGAGCATGGATGTGGGTGTGGGTTTCTGCTTGTGTTTATTTGAGCCAGCCCCTCAGGCTCAGTCCCTCATGACCAGGAGGGACTGTGAGACTGCTATGCAGGCCACATGCGTGGCACTGGCCCTGGCACCTGGGCAGGGCCATCTGTTCATTTTGGGTGAGCCTTGCAGAGGCTAGGACCACTAACCAGAAGAAGTTCAGGAATGATCTGTGGCTTTTCACGTGCCCTTCCTTCCTCTCAACTCTGCCCTGAATAATCAAGAGATGATCCCTGCTGCTAATCTGCCTCTGCTGGGGCTGCTGTTGAGTCCTCCGGCTGCGTTTTTGAAGAGGATTGCTGGCTGGAACCCCTCCTGCTCCATGTGGGATCCTGGCTCAGATACCCCCACATTCTTGGGCAAGCAGCAGAACCCACAGGCTTGCTGTTTCAACTGGGCACAGGCAGACTGAGCAGGGCCGAAACACAGGGAAAGAGGCCAGCAGGAATTCTGACTTCCCTCTGTGCTCAGCTCGGTGTCCCTGACTGGCCAGGGCAGTGCACAGTGGCTGGAGGCCAGGCTGTGAGGGTGAAGTGTGTCCTTCAGGAGGGAAATCCAGGCTCTTACCCTCTTATTTTCTGACTGAAGATTCATTCTCCTGATTATTTACTTTTTTTTTTTTTTTTTTGCCAAGGTGAACGCTGAGTTATGACTCCTTTTGCTTTATTACAAGCATCTTGGGGCTCTGGGAAGGATAGTGCAGATGTGCTCTGGGTTCAGAGCAGGCGGGCAGGGGCTGGACACTGGTGGACCTGATTGGTTCACACAGCTGCGAATCGGATCTTAGAGGAGCCAAAGTTGCCAAGCATCGCCTGCTTGCTCTTCTCTTGGGCTGCCTCAGGTCAAGCTGGTGCTGAAGTTCTGCTGTTTGGGCCACTCATTCCTCCCCAGAGGATGGTGGGTTTGCACAGGTTGTCAGTGCATTGGACATGGTGGGCACTGCAGCGTCCTCTATGGTCTGGTTGCCTTGAGCACACGTGTTTGCTGAGTACCAGCCCCTCTGCTCTCCATCTCCCCACACTAGAGCAGCTGCAGCCTTCCACCTGTCCTGCCCACAGGGGTGGCTTCTCTACCTATTTAGCTTTTATCACCATTGGTGCAGTGTCCCCAATGTCCCTTTCTTTCAATGCATGGGCCAGAGACACTAGTTGATGAGTGCAGTTGATAATGCAGTCCTGGAAGACCTGTACCAGTCAGCTTTCCTGTTGCTGGAGCAGAATGCCAGATAACAACAACTTAGAGGAGGAGGAGTCTAATTAGGCTTATGGTTTTTATGTTTACAGTCCATGGTCAGCTGATTCCAAGCCAGGAACATCATGGTGGAATGCCTAATGGAAGGGCCAGGCGAGAGAGAGAGAGAGAGAGAGAGAGAGAGAGAGAGAGAGACACCAGAGCCAGGAACAAGAATACACCCTTCCAGAGGTCCTGCCCCCAGTGACCACCTCCAAGCAGGCCCCAACTCTTAACAGCACCTTCAGCTCTGAGTAGAGTGCTCCATGATCCACTGAACTTTCACATATACATGGGACTTTTTGAGGGTATTTTAGGTATGTACCATAAGAGTACCAGTGTGAAATCACTCATGAATCTCTAGTTACAGTTCATTCCTGGGAAGTCTCTTTTTATTTGCTTTACACAAGCTCACAAGAAAACAGTGTAACTCCACATCAAGTTGGGCTAAATTTTAACTAGAAATGATGCAGCCAAACTCTGCAACACTCATTCATTTCTTCATGCTGAATCATTCATTCCTGTTTATATCAGTTCACTTTCTCTTACTGTAATGAAATACTTGAAGCTTGATTCTTTATAAAGAAAGGAGTTTATTTAGCTCACAGAGCTGCTGGCTGTTTCAAGGCATGGTGCTGAAATCCTCTCAGGTCTAGTGAAGACCTCATGGTGGGTGGCATCACAGTGGCAGAAACACTGGGGAGAGGGAGAGATGGAGTGGTGAGATGGAAGCCAGAGTTAGGTTGTGAGGAGCCAGGAAAGAACTCAGGGCCTTCAGGGCCTTAACTACTTCTCAGGCCGCACCTCTGAAAGGTCCCACCGTGTCTCATTTCATCACACTGGGAACCAAGGCCTCCAAACCATGGGTAGTTGGTGAGCAAACTACATTCCAACCATATCCCCATTCCTTCATTCATTCATTCAAGAAATATATACCCAAATGCTTTCCAGGAGGAAAGTTGATTAAGTGTAATATTCGTTGCCTTTCTCCAAGGAGCTTACAATTTATCCAGATAGTCTATAGATACACGTATTGTATATGTCATGAGTCATGTGGGATTTTACAGATATAAGGATTATAATTGTTCAAACAAAGGCTTTCTCAGTGCTCTTTATAGAATAATGTAATGCTGTCTTAATCTTAAATTCATCTCTATCCTAAATTCATTCATTTTCATTAATACAATGTTCCCTTGTATATAAATATACATCAATTTATTTACTCCTTCTTCTGATCTTCATGGATATTTGGGTTGCTTCTGGTTTGGAACTATTAGATCTAATGTCACCCTCCTTTGTATTGCAGCTATGGTCTTGGTAGCTCTGTGCATGGCTCTTTCTTCTTGCTTTACTGAGGCCATGTTTAAAAATTCTCCTCACCCTTGGTCTTCTTAAGAATGATCTCTTATTTCTTGGAGTCATTTTCTCCATGTCTTCCAGGTGAGAGTACCTTTATTTTCCTGGGATGGTCTTATATGGTCCATGTTCTCTCTTCCTATTCTTCTTTTTGACCTACCAGTATAAAGTTCTTTGTAAGACCATTGTTAGTCACCAAAGAAAGGTTATTAAAGAGTCTAATATATTATGTGCATGTACCAGTTCCCTGAAGTGAATATCACTATTCTGTATTGCAAATAAAAATAAAATTATTTTAAATTTAAAAACATGTTTACTCTTCTGCACTTTACTCTAGACCTGAGATAATCTTCCTCTTTTCCACTTTAGAGCACAGACAGATTGATACCTATGTGTCGCCTCCACTTTCTGGAAGACATTGATCTAGTACCTAGATGCTGGACAGAGCTGGGATTGTACCTGCCTTTACTCTTGATTGTGCCACAGAGTTATCTACTTCTCTCTTCCTCCCCTTCCCTTCTCTCCTTCCTGAACCCAAACTGGTATCTACCACTCAGACATCACAGTAACTCGTCTCTCCCCCAAAGGAACCCCAGGGGGACACACCATCCCACAGCTGCAGTTTGTCTCAGAGCTGTTTTCCCCAACTGAGCTGCCAGGGTGGGTTTGGGTTGGAGAATCAATTGCCCTGGCAAATGGTTGCTATGAGACCAGGAGTGACTGCTTGATTTGCTGGTCCCCAGTTCCTGTGGGGCAGACGATGGTGGTGAGTCAGTCTTCCTTCTGTGTATGCA